ACCTTTTTCTAAAACCACGTTTCTTGCTTCTTTCCCTTTTTATCAATACTTGTCGAAATTTTAATCTGGACAACAAAAATGTACCAAAAGAAATCACACTCAAATCAGTTTTATTTACTCTGGAATTGGGTAATTAGTTTGGTCAAGAAGTACAAATCTAAGTTACATGGAGTTAGAAACGGGTAAATTTAAGTTGTATGAACAACACAAATCCTTTGAATAGATTTTTTTATTTTTATTTTTTAAAAATATCTCAGCTTTACTATTATTCAAAGTTAAAATTTTATGACATCATTTTCTTATCATCATTTTCTTCGATTTCATAATAACTGCCTCATAATAAATAATAACATTTTTTTTGTGTTCATAAATGGCATTCTATTTAAAGCATAGAAATCAAATGTTACATAGCCAAAAAGGTCACTGTTAGCTAAGTAGCCCAAACCCAAATAACATTTTTTTTTTTTGACAGCAAATATAGTTCATCCATTCAAGCTAAAAACAGACCGTTTTCTGCAGGAGAAAACCAGTCTGGAAGTACAGAGCTTACATGGGAAAATATAACACCACGTGATCGTGCCTTTTTTGCAAGGCAATCAGCACATATGTTATTAGAGCGTGGGACATAAACTAGATTAAAAAAGGTAAAAGATGACTTCAAAGAGCTAAAATCTTCTAATTCTGACGAAAAAACAGGCCACTCATCGGGAGTGTCTAAAACCTGTGTTAACTCCATGCAATCTGTTTCAAAAGCCACTTCAAGAAGAGAAAGTGTGATAAGGGACCTCATTGCCCAGAGAAGAGACTCAACCTCTGCGTGGAGAGGGGATAAGCATCTGCGAAAACTCTTCAAACCGAGATGAATAATAGCTCTATTTGATCTAACAATCCATCCAACTCCGCTTAAGGTAGAAGAATCCACCCATGAACCATCCACCTGGCAAACTACAATGTCAGAAGATGGTGGTTCTACGGGAGGAGTGGTTACCTTGGGCTTAATAAAAGAATCTCGGGCTCGAGCTACTCGGAAAGATTCTGCTTCCTTCGATGCGTGTTGAAACGTGTCATCAGGGTGGGTATCCTTGTTTTCAAAAACCTTAGAGTTACGGGCCTTCCAAATGAACCACATGATCCAAGGAAAAATCCGAATAACCTCTTCGTTCCCTCCTGATTCCTTCGCTCTCCAAAAGAGATAGTCTAAATTTGCAAATAGAGAAGGCGAAGGGAAAACACCCTGCCTAATAAGAATATGAGATAAAGACCACACCTGAAAAGCAGGAGGGCACTCAAACAGGACATGATTGATGGTCTCTTCCTCCATCCCGCAGCGGGGACACATTCGATCAGTTCCTAGGTGACGGTCAGCTAGTCGTTGGCATGTTGCCAGACATCCTGTGGCAGATTGCCAGATGAAATGTTTAATTTTTCTTGAAGTTGGAATTTTTCATGATTGTGCCTGTAGTGCGGTAACATTGGGTCCCTGAAAAGGGAGGTCACAATCCCCTCGCCGGCTTGCAGTCGCAGCCAAATAACCCGACTTAACGGTATAATTACCAGACTTGGTATGGGCCTAGATAAAAAGGTCTCTCGAGAAGGACGAACTCGGATGTAGCCCCAAGATACGGGGGATGTCGTCTGATGCTATAAGCTCTTGTAGTTTGTCGATCTTCCATCATTTCGAGTAAAAAAAATAATAACATTTTACATAGGATTTGTACCATATTCTAAATTAAACAATGTTCTTTATAAATGCTTAAAAAAAAAAAAAAAGGTTAATTTATACAAATCCTAAATGACGCACTAAACAACTTTTCAAGAGCTTACGAAAATTTCCGATTTTGATTTTTAAATGGAAATCAAACCTCCAGCGAAGCTATTGTGCTACCTAAGTACAAATATGCATTATGTAATGAGGTTTTAAACATGTGTTTATCAAACAATTAATAAAATACAAAATCAGTAGCGTAGAAAAAGAAAGGTAAAAGCTTCATTTTGCTAATCGTCATTAAAATAAAATGGTGAAATGTGAAAATGTTTATCAACTTTAGACCCAATCACTGTTTGGTAAATGTAATCAACCCACTAATGTATTTTTTGGAATTGAGAGCATATAATCGGCGTTACCAAAATTATCTTCGCATACATGAATCACAATATCAACATGGCTAAACTGAGGACGATAATTAGTTTTTGCACTATAAAATTAAAAATTGAGCAAGTTTTATATTTTCTATTTTCAGAAAAATTTATAAGTAAATAAAAATATACATTATTTTCACATAAACTCTAGTCATTTCTTCTTCTCTCCTTTTTTAGTCTTTACAAAGAATCGTTTGCGTCCAAAGTTATCTACGACCTAAACCCTAAATCAAAATCCCAAAATTAGTTTTAACTATGAGAGAGTCAAGAAACAAATCCGATGTCGTCGCGTGTCAGCCCAAGTAAACGTTCAGCGTGAAAAGAAAAGGAAAGAAGAAGAAAGGTTTCAACTTTTTAATCGAAATTTGACGAGAAAGAGAAAACAAACAGAAAGAAAACAGATTGTGAGTGAAATTGAAGAACTCGAAACAAGAGACGAAAAAGAGAAAAGTGTTTATATATAAACAAATTTGGCAAATTGAGAATCAAAAGAAGAATAAGTAAGATGAGAAACAAGGAGTAATCGCACTTGGCTCGCGTTTCCAGCACCCGACACATTTTTTCTCCTAATTTTACTAAAATTTTATTTGTTGAGTCGTCTTCCTCTTCTTTTCTTCTATGTGTTTGGGCTCTGAGCATTTTTCATTTTTCATGAGCATGAAATGCTAATTGAATTATTCATAAAATAAAAATAAAAAAATTCGCTTTTGCCATTAAGATTGTTGATAAACGAATCACACAAATACGAATACGGGATCTCAAGGGAAGAAAGAAGAATCTCTTATTTAAGCACGAGCTGACAATTACAAAATGGACGAGCTGAAAACCAAATCTACGGGCCGAGCCGCAAAGTTCTCTGACGGTTGCACGATATTCTCTGTAGAAACGGTTATTTCGGGATCTCCTTGTCTAATCATTCCCCTTTTGTATTTATAAGGTACGGAGGTAGGGCATCCCTCAGTCTTGAAATGCCTATTCTACCCCTATGGTCGGTGCCAAGCTTGTTTGATGGGCTTCTGTTTGGGTTTCTCTTTTTTCTGAATAGGCTTCTCTTTTTCCGAACGGGCGTCTTTTTTATTGGGCCTTGGTCGCTGCTGGATTTGGCAATGGATTTCAAAAACACTAATAAATTTATCCAAAAAAATTGAAAAGAAATATTTAAGTCCGTATTCTATAGGCCCAGTTAAATTCTATAGGCTTAGTCTTCTTATGATATAACAAGGCCTCAAAACTGTTATTCACATAATTAGGTGGCATTATATCATATTGGTTTGATTGTTTTTTTTTTTATGTTTACATGTATGTGAAAATATTATATATTTTATGCCTAATAGTAATGCAAAATCTAATATAAATTAATTGTAGATGCAATGTATATCACATTCTTAGCAAAAAAAAAAAAAATAAAATGCAATGTATATCAAATAGGTTTGTAAACACAAATAGGTTCGAGATCAGATTGCCGGCGAAATCTCTGATGAGATTCAAGTGCGTCTCAAAGCTCTGGCTCTCACTCATCTTATCTCGTTACTTGACCAACCGATTCCTTAAACCCTCACCACGAAGTCGTTATCTCGCCTATTTTGTGGATAGCGAGAAACATAGCTAGTATGCGTTGCACACATCATCGAATCATGATCACTCGGACACATCGGTCTCTGTAATCGACCAAGATCTGACCATTCCGACAATAGGGGGAGGCCGCTTCGTGAGCTCTATTCGTGGCTTGTTGTGTTTCAGAAATGGAGAAGAGTACAAATTTGTAACCTCAACACAAGACAGGTTGTGGAATTACCCGTTATGAAAGGCAATAATAATAACAATGTGTTCTATTTTGGACACGATCCTGTTAATGAATACAAAGTCGTATGTTGTTTTCGCCACATAATAATATTATGATCACTCGGACAGACCGACCAATAGACAGCTATATTACGATAATATGCACTTAAATCTGTTTTACATTATGTGTATATGTTCTATGGCAACCATGACCAAACTTTTTGGGTAATATATTTATAAAAAATAGTAGACGCTGTTAAATTTTCTGCCCCAAATTACTCTTCAATCATACGAAAGCTGTTTTCCATTTTTTTTCTCTTCCATACGATACCATAAGAGAGTTTCCTGCTACCTTCTCATTTATGTAATTGAACAACTAAAGCAATGTTCCTTTAAAAAAGCACTCACTTACGCATTAAGCAACTACACACATGCCCTCGCATATATACGATTATACTCTCTCTTTTTTTATATGTACGATTATACTTCTTTTTGATAAAAATATCCTTTATCTATTTTCAGCCAAAATTTTTAATCATTTATATATTTTGGTGCTAGAAAATATCCATAAAGTCTTCTGCAAACAAAGCCACTGTTCAGTATCCACTATAGTCTATACGCAAATTAAAGCCTATCGTATACGATTATACTTCTTTAACTTTTATTCATATTTGGTTGAGAAAACATTGATTATACATATTTTATCAAGATAAACCATTTAGTACAACAAATATAGTATGAAATCACATACAGTTAAATTAATGGACCACTATAATATTTATCTCAAAAACATGTATAAATTAATGTATATTTATTATTTAATGCTTTTATTTTGGTGGACGCCGGTGGGATTTTAATCGCTAATTAATAATTCCACAACCAAAGACAATTTAATGACGAGGAAAACCAAAATAGTGCATGAGGGATCCAACTCACATGAAAAATACGATGACTTGTGGACCGACGAGTACTCCTTAACTAACCTTCTCCCTAATTTATCATTTAGTTTCAGACTATAGAGTAATTTTTTTAATTTAATTATAATTTCGTTATAAAAAAAGACTCGAAGCTTATAGAAAAATGATACATACACTATTTAATAAGTCTATGAGTCCCATGCACTTGACTTACGTAACGAGAACGCATTCATCATCACCTCTCATTTTCTCGTCTCCTCTTAATTTTCAACTCTTTAAGCTCACAATCTCCATATTTACAAAACTCTGTTTTTCATTTTCTCTTTGATCAAAATCGCCGATCACACCATGCCGGGAAATTCTCACCGCCGGGGATCCGTCGTCATATTCACCGTGATGATGATCACGTTGCTGACGTGTCCAATACTCATCAAGGCTTCATCATCATCAGATGCTTCTTTAGCAGCAAGAAAGCTCGATGAGGTTGATCCTATAAAGTGTTCTCCAAGCTGCATCCAAAACCCTCCTCCGCCGTCTCCTCCACCACCGTCTCCGCCACCACCTGCGTGTCCTCCACCGCCGGCTCTCCCACCACCTCCGCCGAAGAAAGTCAGTTCCTACTGCCCACCGCCTCCGCCGCCGGCTAATTTCTTGTACATCACCGGTCCGCCGGGAAATCTCTACCCCGTTGATGAGCAATTCGGAGCGGCCGCCGGAAAAAGTTTTACGGTGGTGAAGCTCTCCGGTTTAATCGCGTTTGGAATTATGGGGTTCTTGATTCTTTGAAATTAACATGATCGGAGAAAAAAAAATTTGAAGATCTGTTGGTATGTTTCAGATACTTTTTAATTAGTTATTGAAGAACGTTATTGATCGTTGGTTAATAATTTTTCTAGCTAGGATCATATATGTTTCATCATATTTTCCTATATCCAAATTTTCTAATGGTTTTTTAACCAAGTTAATAAGGTATACGTATACCAAAATTTATGTTAGAGAAATATGTAAATTCTAGAAATGTATTCTCTTGATGTGATATGTTCTCTGTTCAACTTGCCATTGAATTGATTCTCAAAATTGGAAAGTTTTCTTTGTGCGGAATAATTTTATGAAAAAGTAAATTGTTCTTAATAAAAGTAAAGATATTTTTTTTTTCAAAAAGGAACTGTAAAGTTAGAAAGACGAATTTTCGAAAATATTTTGTCTTGTTTAGCTTTCCTCTTCATACTTTTAACTAGTTGTTATTCATATGCGTAAGTAATTTATGAAAAGTCAGTATGTTTTGTCTAAAGTAGATTAATTTAAAATGACATGAGTTGACCAAAAATATTGTAGATGGAGTTAATAAACTAGAGAGAATTGATGAATTGACAAACTACTATAATCAGTAGTTAAGAGATGTTTAGTCTGGATAAATTAATCTAATCCGATCCAAATAATCTAAAATAACTAATATATTTTAATATGGTTTAAATGTATATCTCTTTTATATGTAAAAAATGAATTTTAATCCGAAAAATATATAAAGACTATATGTAAATAGCTACAAAGAAAGTAATAAACCCACTGGCCCCTAATGCAAATAGCCCAAGGACCGTTTATCCGTAGAAACTAGAAATTCAATCGATGATGGAACTTCATATTAGACTAAAAAAACGTCCTTAAAATATAAATAATTTTGAAAATAGAAATGTGTAAAACTAAAACTTAAATTGTAATAATAATTCTGAGGTGGAGAAGGATACCTGACCATATCAAAAGTAAAAAGACACGTGTAGATGCTAACAGAGAGAGATGAAAGAAATGGAGATCAACTTGGGTTTCAACAAAAATGGGTCCTGCAAAGCCGACCTCAGACATGACATGTGAATCTGTTTCGCCTAACGCTACCAAATCTCCTCCCATCTTACCTACGTTTTTACTTTTTTTTTTTTTTTTTTTTCTTTCTTCAACGCTTACTAATACATACCGAGTATTTACGTAAATCATATTACTAAACCAAGTGTAGTATTCAAATTTAGAATTTGTAAAACTTAAAACGATTTAAATTTTTGGTTATTTAAAGAAAAAATAATGTAGTTGGATTGATCTATATTTTAAACATTTGTTTTTTCTTAGTTAAGCTTTGGCATATAATTAGTTTCAATATATATATATATATATAGTTTCAGAAAAATACACTATTACATTTACTTGTCTGTGACTGTGTATTTAATCTGTTTGTGTATTTTAAATATTTTACTATGCGATGTGAGATATTCGATGAGATATCCGTATTCGACTTAAAACTCAATAACGAATCAACGATCTCCTTTCATTAGTTTTACTTTTAAAACCAGAATTAAATTTGCCCAAATTAGTAACAAAAAAAAAAAACAATCAATGAAGGAGTAATTGTTGTGGACTTTATAACGTTTGAAAAAATTGTGCACCACACAGCTGTGATTATGCTTTTATTGCCTCAAAAAGGCAACACACCACAAACTCCTTTATAGTTTTATGCATGCTCACTAGGTATATATAATGTATATTCTGTTCTTTTTTGGTTTAATGATATTACTTTTACTTCACGTCTGATTGTCATCATCAGTTTTTTTTTTACTTATTTTGGTTAAAGGAAAGTCGCGAGTAGTAGCCATAACAACCGCACCGTCTTTTACATGAGAAAAATCCATTTTGCCACTACTTTATTTTATTTCTTGGGTTCAATTTTCTTCTATTTGTTACTCTTTCCCTTTCACAAAAATCCTTTTAAATAAATGGTATTTTATGACTTTTAGGTTTGTGAAAGAAAGAAAAATGACTTTAGACTTTAATTAATTTGCAATTACAAAAGATTGCTTATCGATGCCATTACCTCGGAAAAAATGAAAGAGGTTTGATGTACCTTTAAAACCTTCAATGTCACTCAACGTCTAGCCCTTTACAGATATGCTCACAAATTGTCCTCAAAATTATAATCACAAGTAACATTTTCTTATACATTGAGATATGAAAATAAAAATTTCAATTTTTTGAATAATGAGAAAATTTTACTTGAAGCTTCGATAAGGCTTCTGGAAACAGATGCAGAATGTATATCCATCTTTCTTTGTGAGCGTTAAAATATTATACATCCATCGACCACTTTAAGCATCTATGGCGCATTAGTTTCTTTAGAGGACATAATTAGGTCATTTAGTGGTTGATATATGTGTAGAAGAATATTCATCTGAAATTTGTCGTTTAACAAAATGGCTTTTATTTTTTATAAAATGATTGCAGTTTATCTCTCTCTTTTTAATAGCAAAGCTTGCATGTTCTTCGAAACTATAATGGGTCAATAATATACACGAATAATTAACCAAAACGTCTGTCCAGTGTACACAGAGCGCCGAAAAGCCCTTTTTGTTTTGTTCAAGTATAATCAAACCAAGATCCAAGAAATAAATAACATATTTCCTTTGTTATTCCACAATTAACAAAGGAAATTCCATCAACAAACGATGATTAAGATGGACTAAACATCAAATAATTAGAGATAAAATAACACCAATAAGCAATGTGATTAAGGAAGAAGACTAGTTAGCAAACCATAAATTAGTTCCAATAATTCACAAGACAAGTGTCTTCTAGGTAGAGTCCACACCTTCCAACTAAGCTTTTGCCAAAAAACTTATCTTAATTTACTTTCTCCCGCTTTCTCTTATCCAAAATTCTTTGTTTACCATTTAAAAAAAAAAAAGAACCATTCTTTCACCAAGTTCTTGTAAAACAAAACAAAAGAAAACATGAACACAAACGATCATGGCCTTCGCCTCTTGAGCTTATTCTTCATCTTTTCTCTTGTTTACTTCCCCTACTTAGCCATATCCGAGACGCCGTGTCCGTACCCGTGTTATCCAACGCCGCCTATTGGCGGTGGCTCCTCCACGCCCTCCATGACTCAACCACCACCGTATCCTCCTCCAGCCGTTAACTACCCTTCTCCAGCTGGGAATTTACCGAATTACCCTCCTCCGGTTGGGAATATACCAGACTACCCTTCTCCACCATATGGTGGCGGAGACGGTAGTGGCAGCAACTTCTATGGTCCTCCACCGCCGGATGCTATCTTGCCGTACTTCCCTTACTACTACAGAAAACCTCCTCACCAAACGGATCAAACCTCGTCGTCTTCACACGTGGCGGTTGCAGGGAAATTGACGGTGAGGATCGTAGCCGTGGCAAATCTTGTGGTGGTTGGAGTTCTCGGTAACATTTTGTTTATAACTTAATTAGTAACTCTTGTGGAAGTTTTTCTTATGTTATGTAAGAAATATTGTAATACTTCAGAATCAACTGAAGCGGAACTAGAGCAGAAAAAAAAAATGTTAGGAGGCTAAGAACATTATTCGTAGTATTTCTTGTATTATTAATAGTACTCATTATATTGATACGGTAAGACATATATGCAATTTAAAAGTTACATCATATAATTATTTGTCGCGATCCTTGAATTAGGATAGGCACAAGCAATGTCAATAACGTCACTTTTCGTGAGTGACTTCATTAGATAGTGGACACCAATATGGAGGTTAACGTATGGACAAAAGGATTAATAATAGACTTTTGATTATGTGGAAACACATGGAAGCAGAAACTGAAAAGGATATTTAGGCCGCCTCGAGTTTAATTTAGTTGAAAATCAAAATTTAAAATTTAATGTTATAAGGAAAAACAGAGGTTTTATGGTTTTTGCACAAAAATTCTTGAGTCTAGAGTTTTAAAATAATTGTCCTTACCAAAGAGGGTAGTAATTAGTAATAAGCTTTTAGAAATTTATAGGTGAAATGGTGATTCTAAAACAAGGTTACATAGGTTCTGATTGTTTATTTGTATTTTACGTTTCTATGATATAACATTCTACTCATTACAGCATAGAAACAAAAACACAAAGAACCAATTGAGGCCATAGTACTACTAATTACGGCCGAAGTTGAATCTAAAGAACAAAAGCAGAGACATTGAATAGCTCACAAAGCAACCTCAACCGCAGAACGCCTAACCGGTAAACTCCTTCTGTGTGTATTGTTTCTCGCGGTCTGATCGCTTGTCTTTGGTCGAATTCCGTTTAGACTCCTCTGTATATCCGCCTTCTGTTTGTTAATAATGAGCTTACTCTTGGCCATTCCATTTGCCAATGACCGATCACAACTAGCTATATATGAGTGATCATCTCTTGCTTTTGCCTTTGCCTTTGCCTGACCTGTTGACGTGTGTTGAGGTCTAGTTTGTGTGCTTTTAGGCAATGGTCTTGCTTTTAAGTTATGACCTTTAGGCACTACAGCTTTTACCTTTTCCTGCAGCATCAGAGAATGTTCCCTCATAAGCTCAAAATTCTAATTGTGAAACTGGAACAGAGAAAAACAGAGTATACCTCTTTCCTCTTCTCGGCTCGTTCGTTACTTCTGAAACTGAAACCATTAGTAGTTGTTCTCTTTTCTCTTGTAGCCACCAAAGGAGTTGTTAGGATCTCAGATTTCTTTGATGTTGTTGGAGATTGAGATGCTATGGTTTTAACTACCCTCTTAGGCTTCAACTCCTTTTGTCTGCCACCAAAAAAATCGTTAAGAGTGGTGCATATATAGACAACGTGACATAAAAAGAGCGTCAAATAGCTACCTCTTAGTGTCAATACTGGTTTTAGTATTACAACTTGGAGAAGATCCCTTTGCTATGATAACATGCTTCTTTGTAGAAGCTTTGGTCGCGGAACAAGGAACAGATTTGTGGACATTTTTCAAAGGCTTCAATCTAGTTGCGGAGGAAGAAGATGATGTTTCTTTTTCATCTTCACTCTGGCCAATTTCAGTTTTCTCCAAAGCAACAGAAATAGAAGTATCAACATCATCATCAGAATTCACAAGAATCGTCTCGTCATAACTCACACAAGAATCACCAAATTGACTTGTGTTCTCATCTTTCTCAGTACAAGTTTGATGATGAACAACTTCACCCCATGTTTGAGCTTCAACAGAACTCGGAAACCGAATCCCTTTCTTCTTAAAATGCGCCTCGAAATGAGCTCTCATCTGAGTAACAGAGCCTGGTTTAGAGAACTTCTCAGCCTCTTCTAGATATCTGTTGTGAGAGAAGGATGATCTCTTCTCCCATGATAAAGATTCTTTCTCGAATCTTCCAAATGATACTGATCCCGAGTGGATAGAATTCGCCTGCAGAGCCCATTCAAATACCTATTAACGTTTCTGTTGTTTCAAACACAATTTTTGCGTTTGCGTTTACGTAAACATTGATAAAATCTTATTCTTGATATATAAAAAATTCTAGGTACTTCATAAAATATCTCTGCAAAATGCAAACACAGAAGAAAAGTTCTACAGACATTCAATTAAATATCTTTCTTGTACTCAACATAAACTTTCATTGCAAAATAGCTTAGAACCGTTAGGCTTACTAGCCGCTCCTAGCTAAACTGAATAACGAATCCTCCAAACGAATTAAACCGGTTTTTTTTTTCAACTTTCAGAACTCTCTTGCTAAAAATAAAAACGTCTAGCATATAAACAGGAAACACGTTTCGTGAATGTCAAGCTACTAGAGAAGTATTCCGGGTGCCCTAGATCTCAACACGAGGACCAAACATATAAGCCGCTATCTTAAGCAGGATCAATGAGTCCAAGAAAACGAAAGCAAGCCCAGGAAAAAGATTATTATATAGTTGAATTGGAGACATATATAATCTGGAAATGAGAAGAATAATTAATAAAGTTGCAAAAATTACCAAAAGGCTTAGGTTAAATGGCTCTTGAACCTCTCCCGCCATCATATAATCTAGTAAAGTGTTCGACGAGACGAGATTAATGACCGCGGAGTTTAATAAATTTCTGTTTAAGAAAATAAAGTATAAAAACAAAAAATCAAGCATACCTATAAGAATCCGTATGTAGAGCAAAGAGCAACAATAACAGAGTAATATACGAAATTTGATGAAGTAACTCTGGAGCACGAATGAGGAACTTGGACAAGAGAAGTCTGTAATTAAAACGTCGAATTCAGATTTGGCAAAGAAAGCTGACTAATCAAATAATCATGTTCATGTCATGTCATGTCACATGTGCTTTCGTTTCTTCTTTGTTTTGTCTTGTTCTCAAACGGACGCTTCTCACGTTCTCCATTATCACGGCCGTTTAATTCGGAGGGTCATGATCAACGTCGAGAGTTTCCAATGCTGTGGCAATTATTCGTAACCGTTCGATCGTTTTATGATCATTGATCGTATGGCTACTTTCAACAAAGCGCAAACGACATGTTCAAGTGTTTCCAAATCTAACGGACGGACCATTAGATCTGCTTAATGTATAAAAATAAATTTATTTTTCCTAACAACATTTATTATGTCTATTTAAATTTGGGTGACACGAGAACGTTAGCAATACAAACCAATGTATTGTGTCGGTCATATATAAAAAATTATATATATATATACATCATTGAGATATTGTGTCAAAATAACATTTATCCTATATTTTTTTTGGTAATTACATTTATCCTATATGACATTAAGGTTAATGCGCATATATTTCTACCATTTTTTTTTTTTTTTTGCATGAATGCTTGATAAAAAACAGATGATTTTTTTTTTTTTTTTAATTTTTGTAATGAAGATAGATAACATTTAGGACTATACGTCGTATACACCAATATATCATGGAGAGTGAACAAGGAAACATAATAATTGAGACCTCATCACAGGCCAAGCATGTGATAACATTAATAAGAAATGTCTTTTTTTGGTAAGAGACCATAGCATCGCAATTGCATGTGACTTCTCCCGCGGTTGCGGGAATATATAAGTCGTATACCATATCTAGCTCAATTGCAAATGATTCTCACTCTGAAACTCTTCTCTTTTGTAGAAGTCCAATGAAATTTAATATACTAAATTTAATATACTAAATATGAGACTGATTTACAAAAATGTGAATTATGCATATTAAGGAAGAAAATTTTATTGAAGAATTTTAGGCTCCAGCAGATATTATGTGTTAAAAGATAAATATATTCATCGTGAACATGGTGCATCAGTGCATGTAACCATTTATCATAGATTTTTGTAGTATGAATTATAGGATTGTCCGCTGTGGAGTCAATTATAAACATCATCAGGTTTCTAAATGATGCATGGCCAGCATGGGGACTACCACCGATGAAAATATGGATATATGCCACATAATGTAATAATTAGTAGTATAAGATAAAATATGTTGCCCTGGTAAAAAAATTTCTTGCCCACCTATTATTTTATTTTTTGTTTGGCCAGTTATAAGTCTAATTTAATTTTTGGGCGCGGCACATCAGGGAGGGCTAAAGGGGGCGGGATAACCCGAATTGACACCCCTAGCCCGCAGAATAGAAGTCAGAGAGTAGTTGTTCTACCTCTCAATATAAGAGAAGTATGAGAGTTGTAAGAAAATAAATCAATGGAAGTACTATCTTTGATAAAAGATACAAATCGTTAAAAGAGAACTATGAAACAAAAGTACAACAAAGAGCAAATCTCAAAAATCACTCTTTTGGCGGCACCGAAGTCTCAACGGTCACTTCTTCAGTCACTTCTGTTTCTTCTTTACCATTCGAATCCAAAAGCTTTTGATGAATCGTATCCTGGATCTTCGTCACACCCTTCTCCACCGGTCCCATTGCTTGGTTTATAGTAAGAACCACATCTTTCACGACGTGTTGGCCACCATCAATAACTATGTCTTGTACACTCTCCTTAATGCTTGTGCCAGATGCTTCAACCTGAGTCTCCGTTGTCTCAACAAGACCACCTTCTTCTAGTTTCACTTCCGTCTTGCTTGTTTCGGCTGTGATTTTACCACACACTGATATCGGAATATAGTGGTAAGGTTCAGCTGGAAAAACAAAAAGATGAGCCACCGCTGCAATCGCCATCTGCCAATGTACGTACACCAACAAGTAGTAGAATCCTTAGAAACATAGTTAATTTTTTAAAAGGATCATAAATTGTGGCAGAGAGGCTTTTAGTAACCTCAATGCAAATGAGAAAATCTTGCAACCCGTTCTGGAATCTTCCTTCTTTTGGAAGTATACCGTAATAACAAAGCAACGCGATTCCGAAGCCTTGCCACCAAGTGGCAAACACGATAGCCTTAAAGCTAATGAACTTAGCCAACGGCTTTATTTCTTTAAGGCGTTCATGAGTCACGTTATAGAACTGAACCAAGCAAAACAGAGCCCACATCTGGCTGAAGTTTAGCACCACCACTATGTATGGGTATCTACACAATTCAAGATTCATCACTTGTCTTTCCATCTGATGAAATAACAAATACTATGATATAATAGTTCACATACCCGTAATACCATTTGAATTCACCATCTCCATAGACACCAAGAAGCTCCAACAGAAATGTCAAGAAGGCACAAAAGGTTTTAAGGATCATCTGAGACAATTATCAACAAAACTCAAAAACATGTAATTAGGTTGCAAGAAGAAGCCAATTCACTTGACTTACATACTGGACGAGACCAAACTTCTCGATCACAAAGAGCTCTCGTCCCAAGACATATGGATCACACAAGAATTTCCAAAATGAACTCTTCTTCTTCTTCTTTTTGCTCTCATTTGCTCCTTCTTCTAACAATGGTTTCTTTGATTCATGTTCGAGGTATTCAACAACTCTTCTTTCACCACCTGACCATTCATATTGCATCTTGGTTTAAAGATGCTAAACAATTACTAAACGGGAAGAGAAAGAGCACACATGCATAACTCACCTAGACACGCCACCAAGTAGCTTCCAAAGGAATACAAAGCAAAAGCCTCATAGCAGTTTCTCAAAATGTCACAGGGTAGCGAGAATTTCGAATTGGACAAGGAAATGATCTAAAACCAAAACCAGATTATATTTAAAAATATAAGAAAAGACTCATAAACTCCGGAAGAGGAAGAAGAAGAGGCTTACCGATTCGGTTGCATAAACTGGCACCATAAATAAAACAGAAACAATCCATTTTTGTTCCTATAATTATAATCATGAATCAATCATGCATATATACAATGTAAATTGAAGCTATACGCATAAGAAAAAACAGAGAGTGGAGTTTCGTTTTGTACGTACAGCAGGATTGGTGTAGAAACGGAGATGTTGGAGGATAGAGAAAAGGGAGAGACAAATGGCAACGGCGGCGAATGATCCTCCGATGATCAAAGACGGTAAATGTAGATCTCTGTACGTACTTGTCTCCGTTACTCCCATTCTTCCAAAATTTTATACATATTTTCTGATATAGATCAGACAACATTATCATTTTGTTTCTGTTTTTTCTTTTTTTTGCTTTCTATCTCAACGTTGGTTGAAGGTTGTAATGTCCACGTGGCTAACGCTCGCAGATGCCACAGTTGCGTTCTATGACACGTGTTTCTCGCCGTCTCTAAGATATTGATACTAGGTGACTGTAAAACAGACAAAATTGTTTGAGCAAGTGAAATAACTTGGAAATAAATATGTGGGCCGAAAGAAAAGTAGATCCAGTGTAGGCCTGCGCTTTCGGTTATCGGTTGGGTCCATTCAGTTTCGATTTTTTCGATTTCAAAATTTAGTATATATTCAGATATTTTAAAATTCTGGTTCGGTTCTGATTCTTTCGGTTTTAAAATTTAGTATCCATTCGGTTATTTTGCTTAAGATATTTTCGGATATTTCGGTTAGTTTTGGTATTTTCAGATATTTTTGGATATATTTCGGTTATTTTCGAGTATATTAACTATTTTTACATATTTTTCAAGTATTTTTGATTATTTGGTCTATAAATAACTAATTATTTTAAAAATATAATTGTATTTCAGATATTTCGTTACCCGAAATATTTCGGTTCGGTATCGATTCGGTTACAGTTATTTCGGTTATTAAATTTACTATCATTCGGTTATTTCCAAATTTTCGGTTCGGTTCGGTTTGGTTTTTTATGCTTCGGTTTTGGTTTGATTTATTTGCCCAGACCTAACCCAGTGTATAGAGAAAGCGGAATTGGTCATGTTGACTATTTTTGATGTAAGGAGAATCGGAGAACAAGAAAGGCAAATTAGAGAAATTTATCAGAAGATTAGGTCTTAAGAAAGAAATAGACCCGACACCGTACCATAATAAGTTGTCGTTGTTGTTGTGTCGGTAGACCTACGTGTCTAAGTTGTCATGAAATATGTATTCTTTAAATTGGTTAAACGTGTTTTCATGGAACCTTAATGGACTGGTGAGACGGCCCAAACATAGTGACGGCCCAATCTGTAACAAATTGTCACGTCGAGGAAATTAGGGTTTAACCGATAAACCTTTGTATATGATCGGTGATATATGTTTAAGGCGAATCGGAATTTGTTACAGACCAGACCGTCCAGACGCAATATAAATTACATCTAATCATGTATGTGATGACATAAATGTTATAACAACAATGCCGCAAGAACCAAACATAATTTATTTCAACCGAGTTTAGATATGATATCAAGACTTGTCGATTTTTCATAAACAAAATTTGTTGTGACAAAAGTGATAAACTTTGTGTTTTTCTTTTTTTTTTTTTTTTTTTTTTTTTACTTTGTGTTTTTCTTAGACATCAATATATATATATTTTTTAAATATTGGCATCAATTGTATTTCTGGGAATTTTTGTGTGGACATATTCCCATGTGAAAGAAACATAGACATAACTCATAAGTCTATCATGTTTTTGGTAATCTTTTTATTTGTTTGTTTTCGACAAAGAAAGATGAAGGGCTTTTAAGTTTGTTAACAAAGAGAAGAAGAATGGGCGTTGGCATGGGTGTGTAATACGGAAAGAGTGTGAAAGTCCCATTAACCAATTGTTCACTTGTCGGACACTTCGAACCGGTGGTCCGTGGTTTCGCCGACACTGATCACCTGTCATTTCTCGCTTTATTTTCTTTACCAAAATATATATTATATTTTCTCTTTTTACTAATAGAAAGCTTAAAATGATTTCTATTAGAATAGCAATAATTATTTATGGTGGTGTACCACGAGAGGATGCAGCCACGCACACGAGGACACCACCCTTCCCTATCAATCCTAATCATTTTTATCTCATTTGTTTATCTAACTTTTTTTTAATTAATTTAATTATTTAATCATTCATTTATTTATTTATCCAACTTAACTCCTCCACTTATGCTTATCAGCTTAATAAACCGGAGGTTATTAGACTGGCTGAGGTTCAACCATCGACTAATCTGTTGAAGGAGAGAATTTGGTCTCCTGATTCGTCTCCAAATATTAAAATGTTCCTGTGGAGAGCCTTGAGTGCAGCTTTGCCTGTGGCTGACCAGTTAATTCACAGAGGAATGAGGGCTGATTCTAGTTGTCAGATTTGTGGAGAGGAAGGCGAATCCACTAATCATGTTTTGTTCACTTGTGCGGTGGCTAGGCAGACGTGGGCTCTCTCTGGAGTCCCTAATCAAGAGAATGGTTTTAGTAGAGGTTCTCTTTTTGCTAATTTTCAGTTTCTGTTGGATACAAAAAACATGTCAAGAGTTAACAGACAGGTCAGTAATTTGTGTCCTTGGGTCCTGTGGAGATTGTGGAAAAACAGGAATAAATTATGTATTGAAGGAGTAAGTTTCTGACCTTTGGACTCAATGTTGAAGATAAGAGAGGAATGTGATGAATGGTTTGATGCTAAATTGCAGTCTGTTGAGGAAGGTCCTGCAGTTTGTGGTGCTTTGGTAAGGAACATGCAGAAATGGGAACCACCGTCTGTGGACTGGGTGAAGTGTAATATTGGGGCTGCGTGGTCGAATAAGAAGAGGTCTGCTGGCTGTTCTTGGGTTGTTAGAGATGCAACAGGGCGGGTGTTGTTACACAGCAGGAGAGCTTTTGGCGGGTTGATTAACAGAAGAGAGGTTCTGTTTCAAAGTTTGGTATGAGCTATGGATTGTATGCATAGTCATAAGCTGAATAGAGTGTTATTTGCTACTGAAGCGACCGATCTGGTTAATGCGTGTCATAGACCAAAAGCTTGGCCTTCTTTTAGTTATCAAATTTCGGAAATTCGTTATTTTTTGGAGAAGTTTGGGGAATGGAGATTGGTGGAGGAAAAAGGTTCAGTGAATAGAGGAGCTTCTCTCATCGCTCAGAGTATTGTTCGTGAGGATAGATTGCAGTCTTATGTGGCAGTTGGTCACCCTCGCTGGCTTCATCACGTTTTTGAGGAGGAGAGAATTTCATCTTAATGGTTGGCTTTGTTCCTGTTTCTCTCTGTTCTTTAGTCTTTGGCGTCTGCCATTTTTTGGTGATTGGTATATCTCTTTCTTACCAATCTCTTCCACTAACCTGTTTTGTTTGTACAAAGGTTTGAGTGATGAATTTTGTATATATCAATATAATCAATCCTTTCAGTGAAAAAAATAAAAATAAAAATAACTCCTCCACTTATGCTATTCAATGAGATCTACTGTTCTACCAGCTTTTTCTACTATAATCTTGTTCTTGTTGGAATTCATATGTGCAAGAATCCCTATTTTCTGTTCAAACAAAGCCTCAAGTACAAAATCCCAAAAAAGTAACTTAAGAAAGAAAAAGATTCCAGTTCGAAAATTAAAAACTCCAAAGTCTGATGATAAAAATGAAAAAAAAGAAATCCAAATTATAAATTGAGCGTGCATAACTTTTAGCTGTTATATTCATTTCTTTTGCACCCATATTTCATAGTATTTTACATAAATCATATGTATAGATCTTTTTTTTTCTATTATATATGGACGTTACTTTAAGGGTATCAAGCGAAAAAATTCATAAAATAAATTACATACAAAATGGATTAGTACTTCAAAACAAAGACAACGTTGCTTTCTTCTTTAATTGGGTCCGTTTCTTTGTTACTACTCGATTTCAAATGCATGCACACGATCCATTGTAGATCAGTAGATGCATACAACTCTCAATAATTCATTAAATTATCAAGGAGGTGTGTATCGTCCGTGCTGTCCACGGTCCACCTTATGAACCCGTTGGCTGTCGCGGCGTGGAGGGAAGGCTTAGGGGGAGTGTACGGCCCGATTGATATGATGGTTGCATCAATTTAATTACAGTGAACATTTTGGAAGCCTAAATCAATTTTGTTATAAGAACATGTAATGATATACAAATCTGTACATGACTTGGGGTAAAGTCCAATGAAGAGAGTGTCACAACTCACAAAGAGACAATGAGAGGAAGGTCTATAGCTATAGAGAGCACATGAGATGAGGGAGTGGGCCGAGAGAATAATAGAGGCAATAGACATAAAAAGAAGAAGAAGCTAACAAGCAAGAAGCCGACATTTTTAGACATTGGCTAATAAGTACACTAGCTAGTCACTCACACCTCAACATATATATCATGATGTCTGTATGGCTGTAATTTGTTCTACTGTGGAACCAGATAATAGAGGAAAAAATATGATGTGGAATTTCAAGATCATTAAGATATAATTATTTGCGGGATGAAAAATTTATTTGATTTTTGTTAATAATTTTATGAAATTATGGAATGACGAAATGATTAAAGGTTAAAGTGATCATTTCGTAAGATTTATACTTATGAAAAACCTGTAGAAACAAAGAATTAGTTTATTACTCCCTCCGTTTCATAAAGAGTGTCGTTTTAAGGTTTTATTTTTGTTTCACAAAGAGTGTCGTTTTAGGTTTTCAATGCAAAATTTAATGATTTTTTATGTTTTATGACTATTAGTATTCTGCAGATTGTTTTACTATTGGGCAGATTATGTTTAGGTATATAGTTAATGATGTTTTTGTTTAGAAAAAACAAAAAATTTAATGTTTTCTTAATCTGTGTGCAAAACTCTAAAATGACACTCTTTGTGAAACAGAAGGTAAGAACTTATACTAAATCTATATATCTAGGAAAACAAAAGAAATATTCCTATCAAGAATTTCCGACCCATGTCATTAAGACAATCCCCTTCTATCCGTTTATGTGACGACTAACCGATAAAGATTTCTGATTTCATAAGGCATTTTCGATAATAACAAGAAATAAAATATCTTCATACGTCGTATTAAAATTAATGGTGCACGAAGTCATTATAGCTTTTATGCGTCGCATGTTGGTCTTAACTCTTAAGATAACGAAATACTAATCTCGATGATTAACCAAATTAGTTACCTTTTCAGTGGCTGGTCAAATCCGTGATTGAAGATTATTTGTTGGAAGACCTTGTTTCAATTTTCTAGAAGGACTATATAAGAGTTGTGTATGTTCCCTTCCACTTCGACATCTAATTCAATAGATCTTTAAATTGGTCACATATTTCGAAACCCAACGATCGTCCACCCAACAATATTTAAACTTAGGGAGTAGTACCTATAATTACTTGTTTCTATTTCAACCAAAAATATGCATTTTCATAGTAAAATTATATTCAAAAACCAATCACACTTAATGTTGGTCCATAAGACCAGAACTGGTTGAACACACAAGGTCTCACGGTTGTTGTTCGATTACAACTTAAATCGAGCTTAAATGAGATAAAGAAAGCTATCAATAAAATA